GGTGGAGGGGGAGGGTGGTGGTGGTGGAGGAGGAGGAGGAGGAGGTGGTGGAGGTGGAGGTGGTGGAGGAGGAGAAGAGCAGGCCAATGAGGAAGCTGAAGGTGGAGATAACAGCAATGATGAGAACAAGACGCCGGATACGAACGATCCCATTCCAAGTTTGCGTCGCTCTCTGGCTGTCCTGCTGCCATCCTGCACACTAGTTTTCACCAACTGCTCTGTTCAGGTAAATGCGGACTAAATGATGTCTCGTCTAGTGCTATATACAAGTGGTCAACCTGGATAAAACTCTCTTTCACACAGGAAGGCATAAGTCATTTTAAAATAGTGTTATGGATATAATGAATGACTTTAGTTTTTATTTTTGTGTCACGCAACTATGCCCAGCGCACATGGACTTACAAGATAACGAATTCATAGGAGTCAGAGAAACCGTTCAGTACATTTTCACAATCACATATTCAAACATTTACGTCAACTAAATGAAAACATCACTGACCAATCATCTACTGTTCAGTACTGTTAATAAGTGTAAGCTGTGATTAGATAGCCTGCCAGAGGAGAAATACCAGTTCTCTACTGTGCAACTGAAGATTTTGGCCTCTAGATAAGCAAAATGTTACATATTGTTGTTTCATGGCCATACCTTTGTTTAATATGCATATATGTCTTTAATTTTGGTTTTGACAGGATATTTTCAAACCATTTTCTCTTGAACTTCAATAATGTCTTTCTTTTAATGGAGTTTAGTTTTCCCATTAATGAAAACATCATCTTGCCAGTATATATCTTGCTCATGGTATATATTGTCCTATCGTCCAACTGCTTTAATATCTTGTGTTTTCAAGATGAATCAGTGGGCAGACCAAGTTGGCTTCATACTTGATTGCTCACATGAATGCTCACAGAAATAAACACATTTTCAGCATACTGTTTTAAACTCTGTCACAATATAAGACAAAACATTGAACTGTCACTTGGACTGTAAAGACATAAGCAGGTGTTGGCTACAAAGGCAGAGAACTGAAACATAGTTCTGGCAGTGATCCACCTGTTTCCTGTTTCTTCCCTCCTTTTCAACAATGTATACATTCAGAAAATATATCTGTTACAAGCAGGTGTTTTGGTTTTGGTGTTACAGAAGATTGAATCTTTATCAAGTCGCCTGTTTCTTTCCCAGTTTTTTCATATATGATTTATAGAAATGATGAAATAAGAAATAATTGTAGATGTTTGTTTATTGTATTAATAAAGAAAACATGGAAGACCTGTCTATGACATGAACTGTGTTGCATTTAAACCAACCTTCTTTTAAATGAGCAGTTGTTTTGAATAAACTTATTTTGAAAAAAAATTACTCTTCAAGTATCATTTGTCTTTGTTAGTTACGTACATTGTTCTTTTGAAAATGTAATATCTTTATCATCATTAACTTGAATCATTGGAATTGGGGAAAGTTATATATTTAATGATGTTAAATGCTTCACTTTAGTTTATCTTATTCACACATGATCTGCAACAAATGGATATCGTCAGCATTAAAACAATTAGCTCATTAATCAAATAATTGATCCACAAAAAAATAATCACAGCCAAAGTGGATGGTTAGTTATATGTGTATTACTTCATATCATTGTAAATACCTGGGATTTTGGACTGTTTATTAAACAAGCTATTTGAAGATGTCACTTCAGGCGAAGGTGTTTTATTATGTTGTTTGTTATGATCGCTATTTTTGACATTGATTAGAGGCTTGATTAATCACGGAAATAACCATATGTTCTTAGCATGTATCCAGTTGTGAATGCCCAACAATGACATATCTCTGGGGAATGTTCCCATTTATTGGAGAATGATAATGTTACAAACAGAAATATATTAC